GCTTACTATAGTATATGCTTTTATATTAATAATATCACGATGATATATGGCTATGTCATCTACTATGGTTGTTATAAATTTTCAATGTTTGTTTTAGTTTTTAACCAACTTTTATGTATTTTTTCATTTAAGGGACCCAAAGGAAATAAATCGATTCGGTTTTTTGGGTTATCCTGAGCTGTAAATGTTTTACTAAATTATCTTTTTATTGTTCATTGTTTTGTTATTTGTAATGTGTTGAATTATGCTCAAATAAATTTGAATTGAATTGACTATAAATAAATATTTATATATATTATCTAACATAATAATCTTACATATGCTTATGTTTATTTTCTTGACTGATTTGTGAACATTCTTAACACATTAGACCTATTTGTTTGTTACTTTGATTTCTCGGTATTTGATTAATGTACTGATGGGTGGTTATTTAGAATAACCACCCATTAGGTATTACGTCTCATCTTGCTTATGTATTCTTAATATAACTTTTACAAAGTCTATGACAGAAAGATCTCTTAGATTCTTATCTTCAACAAATAGATAAATAGTAACAGTACTCCAATAGGAACAAGATCTTATAATCGTATCACTCTATAGCCCTTCAACGAAAAGTTCTTTTATTCAGTTATATGAAACAGGTATCCCTGGCGGGATTCGAACCTGCAAACTTTCGCTGTCAAAGTGAGAGTTACATATATTTGCATGTATTTATATCAGACAATAATAAGAATGTAGATATATGGACAAACATTACCCTATGTATACGTTACTTATTAATTGTGTTAACGATTTTGATGCTAGTTGATTTAAACGTACTTCATGTAAAATACAGGACTTTCTTCTTGAACTAAAACTGAATTTACGCCAGTAGACCAATTTTCATCTTCGCTGAAATCGGTACAGTAAACTCCCAGACTAATTCTTTCGGTTATATTAAAGCATCCTGTGCACCTGAGGCAGCATTCATTTGCAATCAGTCTGTTATTGATGATAGTTGATTCGTCGCATCGATGACTATTTCTTGCCCATGACATTCTCCATTTTATTTCAATCTATAAAATATGATTTACAAAAATAAAATATATTGATTGACTTGTATTGAAAATACATAAAATTACCTAAATGAAGATACACTATTAGTAGAAATATTTTCTAAGTTAAAAAAATAAAACAATAAGTTTGATTAGATATTTCTTTACTAAAATAATAGTTTCATGGCACGATGTGCCACTCTTCAGATAGAACTGCCTAATGACTAAGAATTGTCTAGGGAGCGTTAATGATCAAATCAATCTAATTTATTGGATGTACACATTGGCATGCAACATTTACAGATTTACACTTTTCAATAACTTTGAAGTATAACCAGTAACAGAAATACGGCACATACCATAATGTAATTGCGTCGAAAGTACAAGTGCAAACCAATTAAAATTAATAAAATAATTTCAGAATTACAAAAAATGCACAACAAATATTATTTTTTTTAAGTCAGAAAAATAAAATTTTCAATAGTCATGACAATATTACATTAAGAAGATTTATTCAGAAAAATTCCACAACAAATTACATATTACAAATTGTTTACATAGGCATCAAAAGAAGAGGTGGCCTGTCAGTATGAATACCAAACATACAAAACATACACACACAGAATACATGGAAACACATCAACATTTTAATTTTTAAATTTGGGATCGCCCACAATTGCCGGCACCTCCGGGAAGGGGAAATGCCTCAGTGATCATCACGTCACAGTAATAATACCGTGCGCTCTCAGACACCAAGACACCTCCGACAGTGTACTGCCCCGGAAGGTGCCAGCGACCATGGACGACTCCCAAGAAATGAAGAAATTTTAAAAATATAAATTTAAAAAATGAGTTAAAGCAATTCAAGAAAAGTTTTCCTTAGTAAGTATCTAATATCATCTCTT